ATGGGCTCTAATTCCACATGTTTGTTAATTGAATTACGGGTTGAAAACTAGGCCTGTAGGAATTCCCATGCGTGTCTGTGGTTGGCTTGAGCTAGGATGGTCACGTTGTCCCAGTTAAATTGATGGCCTTCATCATCCGAGTGCACTGAGATGAGGGAAAGCTCGTCGTGTTGTTTTGCTGCGAGCTGGTATTCGTGTATCCTGATGGCTAGTTTCATTCTGGTCTGGCCAATGTAATGTTTGTTGCAGTCATTGCAAGGTATTTTGTAAACTATGTTGGTTCTGCATGTCATGGGTATGGGGTCTTTGGTCCTTCTGAATGTTTATCAAAGTGTGGCTGTGGGATTGTGTACTACCATGATTCCTAGTGGTTGTAGGAGTCATTGTCAGTTCTGATATGTTGTTGATATAGGATAGCGTTGCCAGTGTCTTGGAGTGTACTGTGTCCTCTTGGTGTTGTCCATCTAGGATGCACCTGCGGATGAAGTTGTTCGGATATCCTTTGTTAGCAAATATCGTGTATAGGTGCTCTTCCTCCTTCTTGCATAGTTCTGGCATGTTGCAGCGTGTTGAGGCTTGTTTGAATAGTGTCCTAACACAGCTTTGTTTGTGGACGTTGGGGTAATTGCTGTGGAAATTGCTGTGTGGGTTGCCTTCCCATATACTGTGGTTTGGAACACCCCATTGGTCATTTGTTCTACCCTGATGTTTAGGAACGGAAGTCGATTGCTGTCTTCTTCTGCTCTCGTAAATTTGATCCCAGTGAAAACGCTGTTGATGAGATGGAGTGTTTCTTCTAACTTGGTGCGTTTAATAATGACAAACATGTCGTACATGTATCGGATCCACAGTTTTGACTGTATGAGGGGGAGGGTAGTGCGTTACAGTGTTTGCATGACTGCCTCTGCAATAAGTCCTAAGAGGGTGACCCCATAGAAATGCCATTGATTTGTATGTATACTTGGCCGTTAAAGATGAAGTTTGTGGTGAAGCATAGGTCCAGTGGTCGGAGTATGTTTTCCTTGCAGATGAAACTGTTTGGAGTCAGCGTTGCTGCTGCATCCAGCACCCTCAACACATCAGAGAGAAAAGCACTCGAAGGACTCAAGAAAGACAGGAACGTCATAATCCTACCAGTGGACAAAGGGCGCATGACCATCATTATGAACAAACTGGACGACATTGAGAAAACACAGGCACTGCTTGCAGATACACACACTTACCAACGGGTGGAGATAGACCCAACACTGCAGACAGCAGAGATAGGAACTGCAGATGCTGGAGAATCTGAGATAAAAAGGTGTAGAGCTGGATGAACACAGCAGGCCACGAAGCATCAGAGGAGCAGCAAAGCTGACGTTTCAGGCCTAGACCCTTCTTCAGAAAAATCTGCTTTACTGCAGATAGCAAACAGGATCACCCAAATGCTGAAGAGGCTAAAAAATGCAGGACAAATACACAAACAAATCAATGACACACTTACGGGGTCACCCATCTCAGGACTTATTGCAGAATCAGACATGCAAAGACTGGAAGGCACTACCCTTCCCCTCATACAGCCAAAACTGTGGATCCGATATGTGGACGACACGCTCGTCATCATTAAATGCAGCAAGTTAGAAGAAACACACCATCTCATCAACAATGTTTTCGCTGGGATCAAATTTATGAGAGAAGAGAAAGACAACAATCAACTTTCGTTCCGAAACATCTGGTTAGAACGAATGACCAACAGGGTGTTCCAAACCACAATGTATAGGAAGGGAAACCAAACTGACCAATTCCTCAATTTCCACAGTAATCACCCCAACGTCCACAAACAAAGCTGTGTTAGGACACTATTCAAATGAGCCACAACATGCTGCAACATGCCAGTACTATGCAAGAAGGAGGAAGAGCACCTATACAAGGTTTTTGCTAACAACGGATATCCCAACAACTTCATCTGCAGGTTCCCACTGGATAGACAACGCCAAGAGGATATAGTACACTCCAAGACACTGGCCACACTACCCTATATCAAGAACATATCAGAACTGACAACAAGACTCCTACGACCGCTATGAATCATGGTAGCACACAAACCCGCAGCCACACCACAACAAACATTCACAAGGGCCAAAGACCCCATACCCATGGCATGCAGGACCAACATAGTTTACAAAATACCTTGCAATGACAGTAACAAACATCACATTGGCCAGACCAGAAGGAAACTAGCCATCAGGATACATGAACACCAGTTAGCAGGAAAACAATATGATGGATTTTCCCTCGTCTCAATGCACTCGGACGATGAAGGCCATCAATTTAACTGGGACAACGTGACCATCCTAGCTCAAGCCAACCACAGACACGCATAGGAATTCCTACAGGCTTGGTTTTCAACCCGAAATGCATCAACAAACAAGTGGAATTAGACCCCATATACAAATCCATGCAAAAAAGCACCAGAAATGACACGACCCAACTTAACCGGATCATATGAATTCAAAGCAGAGCAGAACAAGATTGCTTCATCGGAGGCCGCATTGATAATGTTACCTAGCATGGTGATGAAATGTCTGTACGATTAGCAGCTAGCTTGGCGAGCAAGCCAACAACCCGAGCTACAAATCTTGGATAGATTGGTGTCATTTCCTTGGAGAAGAGGAGACAGAGACTGAATGAGATTGAGTAGTACATAATTATGAAGGGCATAGAAAAGATTGGAAGGAAGGAACTTGACCCCTTGGATCAACAACCAGGGGAATAGACTTAAGATAAAGGACAGGAGGTTTCAATGGGATGTGAGGAAAGATTTTTCACTCAGAGGGCAGTGGGAATTTAGAACTCACTGCCTGTAAGGTGGTAGAGACAGAAACCCTCATGATATTTAAGAACTATTTAGATGTGTGCTTGCAATGGCAAGGCATAGTCTGGTGTTTAGTTTTCATTGGTGCAGACTCAGTGGGCGGAAGAGCCTTTTTTGTACTGTGGACATCTATGGCCATGACTCTGTGACTCTATGACTATGAAGCTGAATACGTTTTCAAGATTGTTCTGTTACACTTTCTCCAGAATCAGAGGCCTAATTCAGAATTCTCTTAAGGTTAACATACACGTTCATTTGGCAGTTAGGAAGGCAAATGCAGTGTTAGCATTAATTTCAAGAAAGGTAGAATACAAGAGTTCAGATATACTGGTGAGGTTGTATAAGGCTGTGGTCAGACCGTATTTGGAATATTGAGTGCAGTTTTGGGCCCCAGATCTAAGGATGTGCTGGTGTTTGATGGGGTCCAACAGAGGTTTACAGGAATGATCCTGGGAATGAAAGGCTTGACATATGAGGACAGTTTCATTGAAACTTACTGAATACCAAGAGGCCTGAAAAGAGTAAACATGGAGAAGATGTTTCCACCCTTTAGAACTGAGATTAGGAGGAATTTCTTCAGCCACAGGGCGTTGTATCAGCGGTACTCATTGCTGCAGAAGGCTTTGGATCATTGAGTGCATTTAAGACAGAGATAAATCGGTTCTTGATCAGTAGGGGGATCAAGGGTTACGGTGAGAAGGCAGGAGAATGGGGTTGAGAAACACATCAATCATGATCGAATGGTGGAGCAGATTCAATGGGCTGAATGGCCTAATTCTGCTCCGACATCTTATGGTCTATGACATTTAACATTTGAGTGTACAGCACAAAGAGTCGTGCTATTTAAACTCATTAAAACATAACAGAACATTAAACAGCAGAGCTTGACACAATGCAATGGATCACGAGAACAGATAGCATGTTTAAATCCAGAGTTTTACAGTAGTTATTACGGATGCATCTTTAAACCTTACAGAAGCAAAGATGATTTTAAGGGACTTTTCTGTGCAATTTCCTTGCCTAGAATTCCTAGGAAAAAGGGTAAGAAAAGTAAAAGGTTCCAGGGTAAGAAAAGTAAAAGACTCCAATGCAGGGAATAAAGAAAATCTATGAAGGGCTGATTATATCAACATGAACCATAGCAACCATAACTTCTTTTTGTCTTCAATTTACTGGAATTGTTAGTTTTTTGATCACAAACTCAATATAATAGCTTCGAAATGTACAATAAAATCAACTGCAATACAATCAACAGGAAAATATTTAACAAATATCACTGGTTTAATTATTCGACTTCGACACTTAACAAGCAACAAGGGCCATGCAAAGGTCAACAAAAAGAGATTAAAAAGAGGAAGAACTAAATGCATTGATCATTGAACTAAAATTCTGAACCACAGCACTGAAGATCATTAAACATGGCATTGGTCCATCTTGGCTGCAGCTACACCTTTGTGACAACAATATGCAACCTAACCTCATCCACTCCCTACAGACCTTTACATAAAAAAGTATATCCAATGTTCCTTTAAAACACAGTGGCCTCTGTCTCAAATGCTCTTCATGATAAAACAATACATGGTTTGTAAAGAATAGTAACATAGGCTCTCTTTGCACTATTAGTAATGACTTTAAGAGGTTCCACATATGGTTTTTTGATGAAGAACAGATTCTTTTCGCTTCCCACCAATTATTCTGCCCTTTCATATCAAACATGCCCTTTATTCCTGAGATTAGCAAGGTTATTAAAAGGCGATTTCAGCCCAGCTTCTAATTCCACAACTGCCAAGTATTATAATTATGAAAACGATGGATTATCCAAGGGGATAAGAAACAAAGTTAATGCGTGGGTCTAAAGTGTAACTGGTATTTACCAAAGTTATTAAACCATCCTTCAGTAGCTAATACATCCAAAATGAGAGTGGGGTATCTTTAATGGATAAAGTATAAGCTGCGGATGCAGAATTGCTTGAAAGCATGAAACTGTGATATTGCCTTGTTACCCATAATCAAGACTTTGTGCAGATAAAGGCAAACATTTGTTTGCAAATTCTGAGTCAAAGCAGTTTCAGGAACAGACTAAACTAATAGATCAAGGTCATTGGTAAATTCAAACAATTGTAAGGAACATGAACGCGTTTATTACCTTCAAAAACCTCTGTCATTTTGCAGATCTGAGCAAAAGTAGCTCCATTCGCCCACGTGAACACAACATCCATTAAGTGGGGGCGAAATGAGTCAAGGTACATTTCCTCATCGACCTCCAGTTTGGCTTCTGCTGAAACTTTGGCTATTCTCCTGGCACATTCCTGAAATCAGACATCGAAAAAATTAATTCAAGTTAATTTCAATTCAGATTTCTTCTATACAAGATAGGCATAGAGCTTCACAAGAAACTTGTCTTCTCCATGTTTAAGAGATATTTGTGTTTCTATAGCAGCTAAAATTACTAATGTGCAAATGAGAGTGGCATATCAGAGGAATGGTGAAAAAAAGAACACACGGAATGATGAAAAGGCTAATGGGTATATATCAGTAGATGGAGTTACAATCACTCAGGGAAATGGCACTGAATAAATTGACCGAGCTGTGGACTGACATGTCGCTGGGTCCTGAAATACTTTATCCTAGGGTCTTAACAGAGATAACCAATGAGGTAAAAGGTGCATTGGTGCTAATTTTCTAAAATTTGCTAGATTCTGGAAAGGCTCCATCAGACTGGAAAACAGCAAAAATTACTTCTCTATTTAAGGAGACAGGCAGAAAACAAGAACAAGAGGTGAGGTGGCTTGTCCTTTAGCCTGGGGTAGGTGTTATAATTGATCATTAAAGAAGTTACAGCTTGGCATTCAGTAAAAAGCAAGGTAATTGGGAAGAGTCATCATGGTTTTGTGAAAGGGCTATTGCATTTAACCAATTTATTGTAGTTCTTTGAAGGAGTAATATGCAGTAAGGGGGAACCCGTTGATGTACCGTACTTGGATTTTCAGTGGGTATTTGACAAGACACCACATAAAAGGCTCTTGCTTAAAGTAGAGGCATAGGGTGCAGGAGGTGCCAGTGTGGATAGAAATTGAAACAAAAACAGAAATTGCCAGAAAAACTCTGATCTGGCATAATTTGTTGGGAGAAAGCAGAGTTGATGTTGAGTCCAATGACTAAAGGTTTCTATTTTTCTTTCAGATTTCCAGCTTGTGCAGTTCTTTGTTTTATTATGGATAGAAATTGGCTGGCTGGCAGCAAACTAAGGATGCATAATTGGGCTTTTCACTGATTGGCAGGATGTGTGGGGTTCCACACGTGTCTGTGCTGAGTCTCAGGTTTTCACAATCAATTACAATGACTCAGCTGAGGAGAGAGAAGGCATAGTAACCAAATTCGCGGGTGACATAAAGATAGGTATGCTGTGAAGAGGAGACACGGCTGACTTTACACAGATAAAGATAGGTTGACTGAACGTGCAAAAATCTGGTAGAGTATAATGTTAGAAAATATAACACTGTTTACTTTGGGAGGACGAATAAACAAAGTATGACCTAACTGGATAATGACTGAGGAAATCTGAAGCGCAGAGGGATCTGAATGTTCTGGTGCATTAGCCACAAAATGTTACAACACAGGTCCAGCACAAAATCAAGTAGTATAATGGAACTCCTTCCTTTATAAGAGGAATAGATCAAAAAAGTAAAGATTTTGTGTTTCAGTTACACAGGGCATTGGTAAGACCACATCTTGAAAACGGTGTGTAGTTCGGGTCTCCTTATTTAAGGAAGGATCCAAACGCTGTGGAGGTGATTCAGAGAAGGTTTACTAGGTTGGTACCTATGGATGAGAGGGTTATTCTACTGGCATAGTTTGGCTTATCTTCGCTGGAGTTTAGAACAGTGAGGGGTAACTTGATTGAAGTGTATAAGATCTGGAATGGTCTTGAGAAGGTGGATGTACAAAGGATGTTTCCTGTCGTAGGTGAGTCGAGAAAGGGAGCACTGTTTTAAAATTAGAGGCTGCTTTTTTAAGACAGTGGCTAGCAGAATATTCTTCTTTCAGATGGTTGTGCGACTTTGAAATTCTCTGCCTTAGAAGACAGTGGAGGTCGAATCATTAATATTTTTAAAATTGTCATCAGGCATTGGAATCAAAGATCATCAGGAGTAGACGGGAATGTGGTATTTAAAACAAACAGGTCAGCCATGATCTTACTGAGTGGTGGAGCAGGCTTGAATGGCTGGATGGCCTACCTCTGCTCCTTATTCATTTCTGGATGACTCACTACCTTAAGCAGTACGTTTGCTACCTATAATGGTTAAGGTCATTCTAGAACTAGTCATATGCACCAGAATCAGACAGGCATGTCATAGAATCATAGGGTCATACAGGTCTGCAAGACAGAAAAAGAACCTTTGGCCTATCAAATCTGTACCAATCAGAAACAACCACCTAACTATTATAACCTCATTTTCCAGCACTTGGCCTAAGCCCTGTATGTCTTGGCATTGCAATATATACATATGAATACTTTTCAGAAGTCATGACGGTTTTTGCCTCTATCACCCTTACAGGTAGTGAGTTCCACATTCCCACCACCCTCTAGGTTAAAAAAAAATCTTTCTCACATCCCCTCTAAACTTCCTGCTCCTTTCCTTAAGTCTACGCTCGCCAATCACTGATCCCTCCATCAAGGGGAAATATTCCTTCCTGTCTATCTTATCTATGCCCCTCATAATTTTTAAAATCTCAATCATGTTCCCCCACAATCACCTCCGCTCCAAGGAAAACAACCCCAATCTATTCCATCTCTCTTCATAACTAAAACTCCCCAGCTCAGCAAAATCCTGGTAATCTCTTGTGCACCCTTTCCAGTGCAATCACATTCTCGTTTTAGAAGATAAACATCTACACAGACTAAAAGGGCTCAATGACCTGTTTTTGCATTGGAATTGCCATGTGACTTACTGGATAAAATGGCTTTTCTATACTATGTTATCTGTAAAAGAAAAATGAATAAATGACCAAGAGAGTAAAACACATATTCTTATCACAATTTTTCTTTGTTTAATATCAGATCATAAAAGTCTTCCCAAGTCTTTGTTAGTCTTTCTTTCGCTTGTTTCAACTATTTTGCAAATTTCCTTGACATTGAGTGCTTTGGTGCTTAAGTTCAAATGATCTGAAATGAAACTCGAGCAAGCCTGAACAGATAGAATTTTGCCTGCTTTATTTAAATGCCAAAGTTAAATACATATTTAACTTTGTATACAACAAACGTATGGAGTTCATGTGTATCAGGTTCAAGTAAAACCTTAAACCACTTGAGCTCAAATTCCTACTTTACTGAATAAGATTGGAAATGTAGGCCTCTCGCGTCTTTAATTTCCTGGTAACTGATGCTCACAAATTAAACCACCAAATCAGAGTTAAAGCGAGCAAAAGAAAATTAAGACTAAGGTAGTTTCATCTGTTGGAGAAAAAAGAAAGCTAAGGTTTTAGTGACCCCAATCACATTGAACTATTTGCTCTAATGTTTTGAATGGCAACTATTGTATCAGCAGCAGTAAGTCACAAATTTTGGGAAGACTGAAGGTATTGTCTTTGATCCATGTTCCAAACTCCATCTCCTAGCCACCAGTTTAAATTTTTTTTGCAGGTAACAGTCTGAGATTTAGTTACTTGTAATATTCGTTGTGTCATTATTTGATCTCAACAGAGATTCCAGTCACATATTTGCGCTAAGACAATATACTTCTACCTCCATACAACACCCCACCCGGTCCATCTATTCTCATTTGCAGCTGAAAAAAATCACATATGCCTTCATTACCTCTAGGATTAACTACTCCAATGCACTCTTAGACTGTGTGCCACAGTCCACCCTCCTTAAATTTGAGGACATCCAAAACTCTGCTGTCTGTTGTCTTTCCTGACACCAATTCTCCCATTCAGTAATTGATTGCTGATCTACTTGGATTCTGGTCAAGTCACATCTTGATTTTCAAACCATCACTTGCATTTTCAGAAGAGATTGAGCAGACTTGGACTATACTCATTGTAATTTAGAAGAATGAAGTATAGAAACATGTAATTTAATATATGAAGGGAATAGATAATAGAAGCAGAGAGGTTGTTTCCACTGGTGGTTGGAACTACAACTAGGGGGCACAGCCTCAAAATACGGGGAAATAGATTTAGGACTGAGTTGAGGAGGAACTTCTTCACCAAAAAGGTCGTGATGCTGTGGAATTCCCTGCCCAGCAAAGCAGTTGAGGCTACCTCGTTGAATGTTTTTAAGGCAATGATAGATTTTTGAACAGTAAAGGAATAAGGGTTATGGTGAGTGGGCAGGTTAAGTGGAGCCGAGTCCATAAAATTATCAGCCATGATCTTATTGAATGGCAGAGCACGCCTGATGGCCTACTCCTGGTCCTGGTTCTTATGTTCTTATCTTATCCATGGACTGGACTTTCCCTACACCTGTGATATTTGCATTGCATTGGTGTTTACCGACTTCTGGCCTCTCAAGTAGCTGTGGCTTTAAATCAGTCCAGTTCAGTTTCCCTTCTACAGTAACCCTCTGGATGTAGGGGATTCAGTGACAGTAATGCTACTGAATGTCAAGGTGGGGGAATAGTCATTGTCTGCTACTCGTGTGGTACAAATATTATGTTAGTGCACAGAACTGGTTTTGACAGCAATATTGAGGAAATCCTGGGAAAATTCAAACAACCTCTGTGGAAAACTACACAGTCATTTTGATCACATTATAGCATAATTACTGCATGCATGTGTGGGCAGAGCTGTTGAGGTATTACAAGCAAAATCCGTGTTCGGAAATGGGGAAGGGAAGAATCAGGGTGGTAATAGATACACAAGTCTGTGTGTGACATTGAAGGACATGTAATTAATTAAATCTTAATGCTTTGGCTCAACTAATTCCAAAGAGGCCACGATAGCATAATCCTAAATTAGAACAACATAATAGCTAAAATATACCTACAGTGCTACGGTTTATTTGTTATTAAATAGAATGATAATAAAAGTAGTTGCTAATGATTTGGTAGTACTGGCATATGAACTGCACCCATAAATATTTGAATAAGTACATTTAACAACAAAACAGCCTTACCTGCATCTGTCGTAAGGGGCCTGCTAGCTGTTCTGTCAGTTTGGGCATTTCATTTGCCTGTAAATTAGAACAGACACATTCAAACTGCTATATCACTTATCTGTTATCATATGTTAAAGATTTAGTGCCACACAACATTGGAAATCTCCTAGTTTTTAGTCTTGCAGGATCACTTTAGCTGCATACCTGATCATTTTGGGCCAGATACCAAGTTTGAACCAACATTAGCAATTACAAATAGATCTTGGGGTTCAGACTGAGGATTTACCCAATAGTAAAGGAATATCTTCGACAGCAGACCTTACCAAAACTTCAGGCTTGCAAAACATGACAGGAAAAACACTGAAGTAGACTGGAAGTTATACTGCAGCTATACAAAATCCTGGTTAGACCTCAACTGGAGTACTGACACCAGATCCGGACACCACATCTTAAAAAGGATAAATTGGCGTTGGAGGCACTACAACGTGGGTTTACATGAATGATACCTGGATTTCAGGGGTTAAGCTACAAGGAAAGATCATAAAAATTGCTTTTTCTAGAATTTAGAAGGTTGAAGGTTGGTCAGATCAAAATCTTCAAAAGGAAAGATAAAGATAACATATTTCCACTTGTTGGGGATTCTAGAACTAGGGGTCATAGGCTCAGAACTAGAATTAGGACTACACCGTTCGGGAGTGACATTAGGAAGGACTTCTACACACATAGGGTGGTAGAAGTTTGGAACTCTTCTATAAACAGCAACTGATGCTAGGTCAATTGTTAATTTTAAATCTGAGATGGCAAAATTTTTGTTCAGCAAATGTGTTGTGCGATATGGGTCAAAAGGCAGGTATATGGAATTAGGCCATAATTCACCCATGATCTCCTTAAATGGCAGAATAGGCTCAAGGGAAACATATACTTGCAAATCATTGTAAGGCTGTGTCAATTAGAGTTCCAAAGCTCAACTTTTTGGATCAGGATTGCAATTTTGTATGATTTCACATATCACCAGAAACAAACAATTTAATTTTTGGGGGGGAAATATTATTGTTCTGCATTAATCATAGCAGGTTAAAGAATCACAGAGCTTTCACCATTCAAACCACAAAAAGAATGCCATAAAATGTTGAGAAAATCAGAAATGTCACCATATAGAGGCATCTATTCAGTCCATCATGGCTGTGCCAATACAATTACACATGTTTCCTTCTACTTTTCTCTGTAAATATAGGTGAAATACTTGACCATTGCTGTGTCTCCTTCATTCGCTATGAGATTGTCTCCATTGCCCTTTACTGAGCTCACTGCTTCTTTGAAAATGGTCTTGTTTATGCGGTTATAGTCTTTGCCATTATCCTTTACATTAAGAAAGCAAAGGTCATCAGTCTGTCTAGGGTGTCTATTTGCATGGCTTCTTTGATTTTATTTATCTCCTTTTACTTTCTATATTAACATATCATTTTATTGTATACCTGGTTCTTAACGTTAATTCTTTGAAGCAATCTTCTCATTCATTTATGTAATGTTGGATATTTCCACAAACCCTTTCCATTCGATAAGAAAGTTTTAAAATTGACATCCCCCCATTTCAAAATTAAACAGCTTCTGTTTCAGAACTGCTGCCTTATTAACCAAATTTTCTATTCCATTTACTAGATCCATGTCCTTACTCATTCATTTGAAATTTGGACTTTTGTAGTCCAACACTGTTTTCCTTTTAAACCATAAAAATCTGTTGGAGTCGATCCCACACTACTTCACAGGAAATTATCTAACCTTTTTTTTAAATGTCATTTTATGACAAAGCTAACAATTTTTTTTGAAGGAAGTACTTCCAGCACATAGCTTAACTCAAAGCTTTTCTAACTTGAGTTTATCTCTCGATCTCTCCATCATATCCAGCTGAAATAGCTTATTCATTTGGACAGAATCTAATCCTTTCCTTATTTTGAAGGCCTCAAATTATATCTTCTCAAACCTTACATTTACTGAACTGAAAAGTCCAAACACTCTGTGCTTGCAATGACTATTATAGAAAACCACTTAGAATTGCTTGCAAATACTTGTCAAACATTGCTACAAACAAAGCTAATTCAAAACTCTCCGATCTATATTATTATTCCAACCACATTTACCAGCCTGTTTGGCTAACCTATTGTTTGGCACACAAAGAACTTCACGGTACTGCAGGCTTATAGCCTTTCTCTTGAATTTCTTTCTTAACTCTTATTTCCTTGCAAACTTCTTGACTTTGTCTTAAAATTTGAATTCCAAACAAAATTAAATCTACCTACTGCTACATATTATGCAGGGTCGACTGATGCTGCAGGTTGGAAAGATTCACTGTGTCAGCTAAATTCAATACATAAAATGCTCACTATTTTCAGCCAAGTAGCAGGAAGTAATGGGTTATATTGAAATCGAGATTTACTACGCTATTTTATTAATTTTTGACTCTGCCATGAACAATATTTGTCTCTCCACAGCCAATTCTTTCCACGCCGTTTGCTTCTCCAGTGAGGAATTTGTGTCCTACAGAGTTCTGTTTTGAAACAGCTTGCTCCATGATTGCTGTGAATGATCGAATCAGTGTGAGCAATGCTTCAGCACATGGATGCACAAGTGGGGTGAAATGCCTTTTGTCAAAAACTTGACACTTTCCTTGTGCTCTCCAATCACTCAAGTTTTTGGCTCTTCGTCTCCTTTTTCTAAAACCTGCATCTGGGTTCCATTATTCTGCATTAATTCAGTTTTCAATTCCAAACAAGGTGAGAGATGAAACTTCCTAATCCTTTGCTCCTCCCTTCCAACATCACTCTTCCATTTTACTGCCTGCTCCTTTCAGCACTATTCTGACTCCACGTTGCTGCTGCTGCTTCTGACTCTGCAAAGAACCAGAGTGTCCTCTTCCACCATCTTGCAGAAGCCCAAACTTCCTGGCTGCTCGTGTCTTTCTTTCCCCTCGTTTTCTTCTTCTCCCAGATGTCATTCTGTTGTCATCTTCTCTTCTTACCCAACAATTTCAAAGGCCACCTCTCTGAATGCTGACCCCACTCCTGAACATCAGCACCCACGATTCCTGACTACCATCCCCAATCCCCAGCCATGCACCGGATTAGGCACCACATGGACATGACTCTAATGTGAACAATTTTATTCACTTATTGTCCCAAACAATCCCATGGCATAGTCCTGAAAGCCCAAGCCCCATTTTGAAAGTTGCTTGGTCACCATGATGTTTTTTGCCCTCTCTGGCTTTTGTGGGAGGGAATATTATCCAAGAACTGTCCAAGAATTTGATCCAAATGATAGAGGGGTTTCTCTGCTGCTCCACATCTGCAAACTGCTTGGCTCACAATTTGTGAACATTTATGATTTCAATGGGTAATTTGTGTCCATTATAAAGCAAGTTATTAATCACTGTAAATAAGCGCGCGTGTTCAGGTTGTCTGCTTTGCACATGCTTTTAGTGTGCTTCGAGTTCAGGATCAATTGTACCCTTCTAACAAATTTAAAGCTAAGGCGCTTTCTTAGAAAAGCAATTACATCATTGGAACTTTAAAAAAAAAGAAACAAAATAATCACTCAATTGTGCTCATCTTTCACTGAGACTACTTGTTATATTGTTCATACTTCGTAATTGATCTTGAAACCATGACTTTGTTCTGTAGGCATAACTTTCTGAATTCAAAACCAAAATATATGAATTTGGAAATTTGAAATAAAGACAGAAAATGCAGGAAAAAATAGGTGGCAGTATCTGTGGAGTGAAACAGTTAACGTTTCATATTAATGACCTTACAAGTGAAGGCACATTCTGATGGTAGATCATCAACCTGAAATGTTAAAACCTCCTCTCTCCACAGGTGCTGCCTCAGCTGTTGAGCTATATTCCCTCCAATTTTTCCAGCAACTGCATCTGGTCAGCATATGCAGATCCTCTGAGCAGCTGCTCACAGGGAATATTGCTGGTGAGTATTTCTAACATTTGTTTGTTTTATACTTTCCAATTAGAAATTGTATCACAGAAGAAACAATATTCCATGCAGAGATAGCAGGAACTGCAGATGCTGGAGAATCTGAGATAACAAGGTGTAGAGCTGGATGAACACAGCAGGCTAAGCAGCATCAGAGGAGCAGGAAGGCTGACGTTTCGGGCCTAGACCCTTCTTCAGAAATGGGGGAGGGGAAGGAGGTTCTGAAATAAATAGGGAGAGAGGGGGAGGCGGATAGAAGATGGATAGAGGAGAAGATAGGTGGAGAGGAGACAGACAGGTCAAAGAGGCGGGGATGGAGCCAGTAAAGGTGAGTGTAGGTGGGGAGGTAGGGAGGAGATAGGTCAGTCCAGGGAGGATGGACAGGTCAAGGGGGCGGGATGAGGTTAGTAGGTAGGAGATGGGGGTGGGGCTTGAGGTGGGAGGAGGGGATAGGTGGGAGGAAGGACAGGTTAGAGAGGCGGGGACAAGCTGGGCTGGTTTTGGGATGCGGTAGGGGGAGGGGAGATTTTGAAGTTTGTGAAGTCCACATTGATACCATTGGGCTACAGGGTTCCCAAGCGGAATATGAGGTGCCGTTCCTGCAACCTTCGGGTGGCATCGTTGTGGCACTGCAGGAGGCCCAGGATGGACATGTCGTCTGAGGAATGGGAGGGGGAGTTGAAATGGCTCGTGACTGGGAGGTTGTTTAGTGCGAACCGAGCGTAGGTGTTCCGCAAAGCGGTCCCCAAGCCTCCGCCTGGTTTCCCCAATGTAAAGGAGGCCACAACGGGAACAGCGGATACAGTATACCACATTAGCAGATGTGGTGAACATCTGCTTGATGTGGAAAGTCTTCTTGGGGCTTGGGATAGGGGTGAGGGGGGGCGAGGTGCAGCACTTCCTGCAGTTGCAGGGTAAAGTGCCGGGTGTGGTGGGGCTGGAGAGGAGTGTGGAGCGGACAAGGCAGTCCCGGAGAGAGTCGTCCCTTTGGAAAGCAGATAAGGGTGGGGAGGGAAAAATGTCTTTGGTGGTGGGGTCGGATTGCAGATGGCAGAAGTGTCGGAAGATGATGTGTTGGATCCGGAGGGGTGGTACGTGAGGACGAGGGGGATTCTGTTTTGGTTGTTATTGCAGGGAGGGGGTGTGAGGGATGAGTTGCGGGAAATGCGGGAGACATGGTCGAGGGCGTTCTTGACCACTGGGGGTGGGGGGGGATGTTGCAGTCCTTGAAAAACAAGGACATCTGAGATGTACGGGAGTGGAATGCCTCATCCTGGGAGCAGATGCGGCGGAGGCGAAGGAATTGGGAATAGGGGATGGCATTTTTGCAGGATGGTGGGTGGGAGGAGGTGTATTCTAGGTAGCTGTGGGAGTCGGTGGGCTTGAAATGGATATCAGTTTCCAGGTGGTTTTTGAGTGAAGATCCTGAAACGTGCTTCTTAACACCACATTGGTACTTACTCTACCACGGACAAGTGGTTCAAGGAGGCAGCCCACCAGCATCTTTACATGGGTAATTGAATAGGTGCAATCAATTCTGGTCACACATCATTCTGACTTGGATCCATATGGTATTTTAGTGGTAGTTATGTTGGTGTAGGCTTGACGGGCTGAAGGGCCTTTTCTGCATTGTATGACTCTACAATTAAGTTTTTCAAATTATTATTGTACCAAAATGTCCAGAAAACCATCCTGAAACCACAACTGTGACACATCACTGTTTCTTCATTAGTGCTATGTCAAAATCCAAGAACTCTCTTGCAAACAGCAGTGTGGATTACCTACACCATATGAATGGTAGCACTTCAAGACAGCAGGCCACCACCGCATTCCAAAGGGCAATTTGGGATGGGCAATAAATGCAAGCCTAACTAGCCATTTCTACATCCAGAGAAATAATAAAAAAAAGAGAAAAAGTCAGTGTGTTCAACCTAGCTGTCTCAAGTACATCCTCAGTATCCTTGGCAGGAAAATGTCTTCAATTCAGAGGTGCTGAAGAATTCCAATCCCATCAGCATACATCATTGCTCAGACAACTGTGTCTGTGCTGGTTTGGTCACACTCAAGCATTTACGGTTTATCATTAATATACCCAAAGATCTTCTGTACATGAACTGACCACTGGATCATGACTTCTGGTGTGCCTGTCTTCAAGCCAGATGTGAAGATTGCACCCAATGTCACTGACAATGGGAAGACAGGCGCTGACAATCATAGCATCAAGAGGCTGACTATTAGGAAGGGCACTGAAAGATGAGAGCATAAATGAAAAGCTCAGTTCGCCAGACAACAGAGGCCAGCAAAGGGTACACCTTGTCAACACAATGTCGCCTTCTGCTGCAAATATGGCAGAGACCGGCATGTCTTAATTGGGCTCCTGAGCCACACCTGATGTTCAATACATAGTTGACCATCATGGCACAAACCACTGTCTTAGAAGACAGAAGGCTGACACCAACTTAAAGGAACGTATTGTGGCTGTTTTACATGATTACAGTCCACATGTAATCTACATTTAGTTAATTGACCAGACACACTGACTGAATCAATAATCAACTTAAAACTGGCCACATTTCACATTATTATGCCAAATATCATCTCCAAGTTCATATTTAAGATGTTAACTGCAGAACCTTGGAGAGAAAGCTAGATTTACAACAAACTTAAATGTTTACAGATATTTATTTTTACTAATCTATAAAGCTGGACGACCAAGAGATTTAGTTTGTTAAGTCAATCCTAGATGGCAGCTTGGCAGTGTTCATTTTACTTTTGTCATGGGATAAATTTAGTAAGCTTTTCTGAACTGTCAACAATTCAAAACGTTACAATTTAGAATCATGTTGAACCCTTAAAGCCCGAGTTGGGCATTCCTGAGCTTGCAATATATTCCTCGTTGAGTTAAATGGATCTTAAAACAAAAAAACAATTTTGCATTTATATAACATATTTCACAACCAAGGGACTTCCCAAAGCTCACTTTACAGTCAGCTCAAATATTTTTCAAGTGTAGTTATTATTGCATTATCGAAACATAGAAGTTGCTTTGCACACAGCAACTTATCACAAACACCAGGTGAACCAAGCAAATAGCAGTAATAGAAAAGTTTAGCCAACCTTATACCTGTGGAGTGTGCGTATATGGAAAGAATTAGACTGATATGTTCCTTATTCCCCTTCTCTCAGTGGCATAACCTGAAACGGCTATGATATGCCTTGTACTGATATTATCCAACCACAGTCTGGTTGATTCCAATCAAAAACAGGGGAAGCCATGGCAAAACACAAACTGTTGATATAATTTGGTATAAAAAAGTCTTACTCTGATGACGAAATTTAGCTACTGTATGTACAGGAACAAATGCCAAATTATCATCCATATGACAATTACATCAGGAGAATCATTTTACAATGCATTTTTCTTAAAGAGGAAAGTCAATGAATATATTTACCTTCTCCTGAAATACAAAGCAACTCAGTAAGGCTGTAGCCTGCTCAGCTGCCAGATCGTTGAAGATCCCATTAAACATCATTTCTGTCAGAAGTAGTTCATCCGCACTACAAGAAAACAAATTATCTGGTTAATACTAATCACACAAAATCTAGATGTTAATTTGTACAATTCATACTTTACCACATACCTCAATTGAATTATGTATAATTGTACATTTATAGCATACTCTTGTGTAGGAAGTTGTGTTTAACAATTGAAGAACAGGTTGATAAAGCTATTAAACAAAAGATACAGCTGAGGTTTTATAAATGGCATTCCAGAATGCAAAAGTATAGATAATGCAGAGATTAATTTAAATCTTTGGTTGGGCTTTAGTTTGCATATTGCACTTCTTTCCAAACTTTTTCCCAGTGTGACTCCATTTTAATGCAGACTGTGAAGGGGGAAATTCACCTAATAACCACATGGGGAATTTTTCACAGATTATTAACACATTTGGATATTAATCGTTAATGCATTAACACCATGATTATTCATCTTATATGATCAGAATTAATGCATAACTAGTTCATGACTTCAATCTAACAGGGTGTTGATATTAATGTAATTGGGTTTGAATTATAAATTAAAACTGTTCAGATTTTAATGTATTACTGTTCTGATTATTGACGCAATAATTCCTGATAATTGAAGGAATAGGAAAGTGATGCAATACTAAGTGTATAATTAATTTGATCCTGATTATTAATGTTACAGAATGCTGATTATTCCTGCAGCAAATCCTGATTGTTGATGCTATGGTGCCAGGCGATTAATGTCACAGTGAACTTATTATTCACAAAGCAGCATCCTGAAACTTAAAGTAATGGGGATCTGATTATGAATGCAATGAGGAGCTGATTTTTCATGGAATAGGACTCTAAGCATTGATGTAACAGTGTCCTCATAACTGATGCACTAGATTCTGATTCAAGTAATAGAATCATAATTACCTTATTTCCCCTGTCTATCCCTTTTAAGTATTTTATGGTTTCACTAAGATCACCTCTCATTCTTCAAAACTCTAGAGAATACCCTAACCCTAACTCTCGATTTGCCAATCCCTCTTCTTAGGATAGCACTGTCATCCCAGAAATAAGTCTGTTGAACTTTAATTGCCCTCCCACGATGGCAATAGAACCTTCCCGAGACAAGAGGACCGAATATGCATATAGTATTTCAGGTACTGTCTAACCAAGGTTCAAGAAAATTGAAGCAAGACCTCACACTACTTCCGTACTCAAGTGCTCCTCAATAAAACCTAACATATCCTTCCAAATTGCCTGCTGCACTTGTATGTCACCCTTCAGTGAGTTAGTGAGGAGGACACCCAAGTCCCTTTGTACATCTACACTTTCTAACCTCTCACAATTTAAGAAATATTCTGGAAAATCTGTTCTTCTGACTAAAGTGGTAAGCCTACATTTTTCCACATTCTATACAACTTGCCATGTTCTTGCTCACTCACCAAGTCTGTGCATACCTCTGCAAGTCACTTTGCATCGCCCTCACAGCACACATTCTCACCTAAGTTGGCGTCATCCACAAACTTGGAAATATTACATTTGATTCCCTCATCCAAAATACTAACACATGGGGCCCAAGTACTGACCTTGCGAGTCACAGCCTGCCAACATGAGAATGACCCATTTATTCCTGTTTTCTGTTTGTTAGCCACTTCTTAACCCATGGCAGTATACTACCTTCTATTCGGAGATAGCAAAAACTGCAGATGCTGGAATCAGAGTCAATACAGTGTGGAGCTGGAGGAACACAGCAGGTCAGGCAGCATCAGAGAGACAGGAAAGTCGAAGTTTTGAGTTTACACCCTTCATCAGGATTACCTTCTATTCCATGTGCTTCAATTTTGCTAACTGCTCTCTTGTAGAGTCTATACAAGGCTTTATTTACAGCACAAATTTATTACTGATGTAAACAGCTTCAGCTTTACACACATGCTAAATAACGTAATGTAAATCAGACTTTAAAAGGGAACTAATGTAAAGTTGGCTAATCCTTAATTTAAGTAGCTTTATCGTTGCAACCACAACTCTGAAAGAAAGTAAAACTGCTGTGCATTTAATACAAAAACTGCAATATAAATGCACAATAAAAACGCACGAAAGAGTCATGTTGTAACCAGCACAATTGAAACGCAAATCTTTTAAGTTTGCTTAAGAATGAAATGTGCTTATAATGGAGAGTGATGGCGCCCTTGGAAATTATCATATGTCTGGAGTTTTGGGGGCCCAGATGGAGAAAGAAGGGACAGGTGGAGAAAGTCAAACAGACCGAGAGACAGCTCAAACCGATATATCCATGTTTTCATATATTTCCTTAATGCCTCACCTGCTTATTTCACAAGCAACTCGTCCTTTCATTTCAATTACATCAGATGAAGTAGCAAAGCCTAATCGTCTGATCACTCGTTTACGGCATTTCAGTTCATCCATCTGCAAAACTGTTCGAGCTTTCTTCAGCTCTCGCTTCGCTGCTTTGATTTCTCCAGCAATCTACATATACAGACATATGAACATTCAATACATACAAGTTATGATGAGGCACAATCTAAGTCATACATATCTGAAAACTATTACTTATCTAGGGTTGTCAATACTTTGATTGAATCAAGATCATGAAGTTATGAAATACATTTTCAATCAAAACTAGACAATGTTACAAATAACTTTTAGACAAATGGTGAGCTAGATAAAAACCGGGGAGGTGGTTTGGAAAGTTAGAGCAAACATGTGAGGTCTATGGTCACGTAGAGGACAGAAAATGGTTAACTGACTAAAGTGACGATAGTGCAAGGCAAAATGATGTGATATTGAGCAAAATATAGAAGCAAGCAAGAGATCCAGACGGTTATTTAATAATTACAACAGACGATATGGGAAGCATGTAAAAAGTGGCAAAAATATGCAGGTTCCATGGTTGGTGAATGGCAGGGTGGGATGCCCAAGTTGGCACATGCTTCTCTCACTCTCTCAAAGCTGGACTTCAGCTTTGGTAATGAGACTCAAAAAGTACAGATTCTTCCCAAATGTTTTCCCTCCACTTTGGGCATTCTTGTACCAGAGGTTCATATAAACATAGAAAGTAAAAGTTAGCCATTTGGCCTGCAGTACCTCCACCATTCAAGACGATAATGGCTTATCCTCCAGCTCAGAGCCTCGTTCCCAATTTTCTCACCAAACCCTGAGATATCTTCACCTTAAAGTGTTATATCCAACACCTTTTTGAAATCATACAATGTTTTAGCTTCAACTTATTTCTGCGGTAGCGAATTCTATAGATTCAACACTCTCTAGGTGAAGAAATTTCTCCTCATCTCAATCGGAAGTGGCCTACCCTATATCCTTACATTGTGAACTCTGATTTTGGACTCCCAGGTCAGCAGGAAGATCCTTTCTGCATCTATCCTCTCTAAAATTTTACAGGTTTCCAAGAGATCATTCCTCATTCTTCTAACGTCCAGTGAATATCATCTTGACTGAATGAATCTCTCTTCGTACATCATTCCTGCCACCCAAGAATCAGTCTGGTAAACTTTTGTTGCACACTATCCACAACCAGAACATCATTCCTCAGGTACAGAGAGCAAAACTGCAAACAATACTCCATGTGTAGTCTCACCAAGGTCCTGCACAATTACTGCAAGAAATCCCTGCTCCTGTACGCGAATCATCTCACTATGAAGGTCAACAGACAATTTGCCTTTTTTGCTGCCTGCTGTACCTGCATGCTTATTTTCAGCAACTGATGTACAATGACACCCAGGTCTCATTTCACTTCTCTCTTTCCCAAATTGTCACCATTCAGATAATAATCCACCTTCCTATTTTGCTACCGAAGTGAATAACCTCATAGGAGGAGAGGCCATGATCTGGTGGCATTTTCACTATTCATCCAGAGACCCAGGTAATACTCTGGGGACCCAGTTTCAAATCTCACTGTGACAGGTGGTGGAATTTGAATTTTAAAAAGAAATCTTGGGTTAAGAGTCTAATGATGACGGTGGAACCTTTGCTAATTGTTGGAAAAATCTCTGGTTCATTAATGTCCCTAAGGGATGAAAATCTGTCATGTTTACCCAGTCTGGCCTACATGTGACTCTAGACCCGCAGCAATATGGTTGACTCTCAACTGTCCTCTGGGCAATTAGGGATGATCAATAAATGCTGGCCTAGTCAGTGATGCCCTCATCCCATGAATGAATAAAAAAAAAACTCTTGCAGAATGACAGATAGTAAGAACTGCAGATGTTGCAGTCAGAGACAAAACAGTGTGGAGCTGGAGGAACACAGCAGGCCAGTCAGCATCAGAGGAGCAGGAAAGTTGACGTTCCAGGTGGGAGGGGTGGATAGGTGGGAGAGAAGATGGACAGATTTTCAGAAATGGGGAGGGGGAAGGGAGCTCAGAAATATTCAGAAATGGGGAGGGGGCCCTCCCATCTCATTGACCCATCCCCCCGATTCCCTACCTGCACTCACCTATCACCATCCCACCTACCTCCCCCAGTCCCACCCCTCCTCTCTCTATTTATTTCTGAGCTCCCTTCCCCCTCCTCATTTCTGAAGAAGGGTCCTGACCCAAAACGTCAACTTTCCTGCTCCTCTGATGCTGCCTGGCCTGCTGTGTTCCTCCAGCTCCACACTGTGTTATCTTGGAGTATGAGGATGCCGATGTAATAATGGGGAATCAGGAAGTGACACAGAAGTTGAATAAATACTTTGCATCAAATGCATTTTTCCTCAAATATTGTACTTTTTCCTTAAAACCAATACTAACAAATTGAACTAAAGTTCTTATTTTAAAAATACAGCATTTCTGGTTCCGAATTCATGTCTTCAGTCTCTGGTATTTTGTTTTTGCTCTAACATTTCTCCAAACTGTTACTTTGGTTACATTTATCTGAAGTTGGTTGTAAGACATAGGGAAATTACTTACATAAACACTAAGCAATGGCAAAATGATCATATGGACACGATAAACTTACACTTCAATGTTGCCTTGACACACTAGTATGCCAAAGATTTATAGGTGCTGCAAAAATACACATAAACATCATTTGACAGCAGTGATAAACTAATCTCATTTTATCAACAATATATTACACAACATAAGTCACTTACCTGAGCTTTTCTCTCACAAAGTCTGTAGACAGTTTCCAAATTTGAGTCATTATGCATAGAATGTGAATACATTCTGTGCTCAAAAGCCTCTATTTTCTGTATTACTTTCTTCAGTCCCTGATCCTTGATTCCCATGTCATCAATTGGATCAAGTAAAGGTATGCCATCAGGAAATCTCTTTTGTACTTCCTAAAACACACAAAAATGTTCAGAATACAGAGTGGGAGAGGGCTTTGACTAATGATGTATTTCATATGGATTTTTTGCTATTTTTCATTAAAAAAGAGTCGCAACAATTTATGACTCAATATGAATAAGGGAAGAGTGAGATAGTTGGGAGCTGGACTGGAACTTTTACCTGTATCGATTTCAAAACACTTTGCCTGTTGTCTAGTGGTCTCAGATCTTTTGGAATATATAGACGCACACTACTGATGGCTGTAATTAAATGAAGTAGGATGGGAACAACCTGTTTAATAAAGAAGTCACAAGGAATAAACATTACACTACAGCCAAGTTAACTGAATGCAAAAAATGTTCAACTGGCATTTTATGAATTATCAATTAAGTATAGAAAGTATAACAAAAAATGGAGAGATGACCAGGAAATCCACATATCCATTCATATCTGCGCAGAGAAAACACAGAGCAAAATCAGACAGGAATTGATGATACAAGGTAAAATCTGGTACAGAGGCAGTTGTCTTACCTTAATTCAATCATGCTAACTACAGCACTGATATAATCCAACACAGACTGAACATACAAAGAAATCTGAAAAGTGTTACTTTTGCCTCAATTGAACATCTGTTAATTTTTTTTGTGGTGTCATGCAAAATGTGATGCCTAATAACGGAGGTACCCATACATCTGAAGATGCATCAGCGATATAAAATTTGATAAATTAATTAGGTTAAAAACAAACACGGGGAAAAAGGCCAAACATATCTCACATGGGTAAACATGTGGAGGGTGGAATGAAGGAGTGGAGTTAGGAAGAGCACCAGTGTGAATTAGCAAAATTGGCTTATATGCTAACTTGCATTTTTGTGTGTTCCTAAACTTGGCACCTGATATTTGCTCCTCAACACTTTGCACTGAACTAAATGGGGTAGGACCCACTCAAGCAACAGCAAGCATATTCCATTTTGGGAATATAGATAAACATCTTAATGTGCTTTTCTTTACAGCTTGGTTTGGAAATTCATGTGAATGAATTTGAAAATGGGTCACATGTTGGACACAAAAATGACCCTAATGAAGATACAGATTGAGTAAAAAGGAAAAGCAATATCTCTGAGGGGCATACAAATGACATGGAAATTGATAACAAAGGGAAAACATGAGTAATACAAAGACAGAGATGAAGAAACTATAATAAAACAAAGTTTAAAAAAAGTGTATGAAAGCTAGAGAAGTAATGTAAAAAAAAAGATACAGAGTAAAAGTAGTAAAGTGCAGCATAAGGTACTGGAAACAATGCCACAGAATATCTAATCATGCTTTGAAAAATTTTTGTGCTAGTCTTTTTTTAAAATTTACAACTGCCAGGTCTCCTGAAATCCCCAAAGAAATGATTAAACACTCGCCATTGCGAATTAGGTCATTTCAGTTTTCTCCAGACCTTTCTTTCTATTCTGGATCTAATCTGTGGAAGTATTTGTATTTCAGCAGCCAGATTTAAACTACAGGGACAGACAATTACATATCATATAGCAGTTACCAATTCTCCACTCTGGCCCTTGGCTCTGACCAGAAAAGCAGGGCTTAACAATTATTCTTATTTAACAGGTGAATGGAGCGTCTTAAAGTTACTCTTTGAACAGTAGGATTCCAATTTCTTTCTTTCATCTGTGGTTGTCCCTATAGTGATGATGCCCCCATAGCGATGTTTTGCAAATCCAGGATGTGGTTCAGTGATCAAGAATTTACTACAATACGAGAGCAAGTCAGGATGACGTAATTTGGAAGGGAATTTAGAAAGGGATGTTGTTCATGAAATACTGCTGCTCTTGCTCTTTCAGTAGTAAAAGCTGCAGAGAAGTAGTCTATTAAATAAACCTTTTTGGAGATTCTGGTTGCATCCTACAGACATACACGTGGCAGCCTCAGTATGACTGGATATTGAGTGTGGGAACAAAGGCACTAATAAAGAGAATGTTTGTACATTATATCTCGGGATCTCACATATTCTTCAGATGTCCTCTCCATCTGGTTGATGCATAGCTTATTATTAGAAATTGCAAATGGTGCTAATCATGGCAGAATCATCAGCAAACAATCCCATTCCTGATTTAAATACAGGGTACAGATCACTGATGAAGAATTCAAAGATAATTGGGTGGAAAACGCTTTGTTGAGCAGTACGTCTGAAACATCTTTTCAACATGACCCCACCGAGGCCTAAAATCTGTCAGAACTCCTCAGTGAGAAATGGCAGAGTACGTGCCAGTTGGAGAGGGAGCACAGATGTTATAACTATGCCAAGCTGATCGCCTCAAAATTTCAGCTTAGGGCCCGACCTGTGAGCCCGACTCAGTTTGGGAAGCCCTGTTCTTGAGGAAAACATGGCCATTTCCTAGGGCTATAATGATCGGTTTGATAGTTGCAACAAATTTTGTTTGCTTTGGGAAGCAAATGGGAGAACTGTGAAGTTGAAGAGACAAAAAATAAACACGTGTGAAAAAAATGCATGTTGCTGATACAGCATTATCAAAATATCTGTCATCAGGGTTTTAGATCTGGATACATTTAAGATCTATTCTATAGCAATTTAATGGCAGCATTAATGTGTTATTTTTAATTGCATTGGAATTAACTGTAATCCACAAACCTGCATCTCTCCTTTCTCCCCTGGTTTAGCTGGTTTAGCTGTTCCTGATGCTGCAAGTTTTACACTGTCTTTATTGCAAAGCAACAAAACCTCCACCACATACAAGGGGTCCAATTCTCCAGTGTTAGGCTGTGAACATCAACAAGGATGAAAAACCATAACCAGAGTTCTAATATTTTCAATATCTTTTTGAAATTATACATGTTTTATTATCGACAATCTACAAATCAAAGAAAAACTAAACATCCAAAGAAAACAATTTTTTAATAAACATATATGGAACATAAATATTTGTAAACTCAAGATGTTGACTTGTGAAGCTTTACGACTTTGCTATTTAACAAAGATCATAAAAATGCTTGTAAATTTAATTGTAAAATAGCTACCTAGATTTGAATAAGATTTAGCAAGTGAGGATGAAAGGAAAAGATCCAGTTGGGAACAGTGAAAATGGTGATCAACTGTGGTCTTGAATGCATTCATCTGCACAGACTTCAGGTTAAGAACTTTATATTCTGGGTCCCACAATTTAGAAAGGACAGCCTGTCCAATATTCATCCCTGAATCAACATCACAAAATTAGACTATCACTTATCCCATTGCTACCTGTGAGAGTCTAACATTCAGAAATAGGAGCTGTAACAGTCTGACATTCTCAATCACGTCTTGGTGCACATGACTAGATTTAGAAGGGCTTTAATCTGCTTGAGTTAATGAGTTGTCCATGTTTAAATCAGGAGTACAGGTAGGTCATTCAGTTCAGCAAGCCTGTTGCACTGTTAAATACATCATGGTTGACCTGTTTTTGTTTCAAATTCCACATTGTGCCAATCCTAATAATCTTCAATTCCAATTCCTGACAAGAACTTAATCACCCCCGCCTTAAAAATATTCAATAATTCCGCCTCCATCATCTTCTGAGACAAAGTTCTGCACAAATACCTGGCAGAAAAGAATTCTCCTCATCCCTGTCCGATAAGGATGACACATAAGTTTAAACCGGTGCCCCTTAGTTCTCAACTCACCCATGAAGAGGCATCCTTTGCACACCTGCCTTGTCAAGGCCATTGAAGATCTTATATACTTTAATCAAGTTGCCTCTCACTTTTCTCAACTCTAGAGAAAACAAGACCTGTACATAACCAAGCTTGGGCTGAAAACTCGCAAGTAACATTCATGCCATGCAAATGCTAGGTAATAAACATCTCCAACAAGAGACAAATCAACCACTGCCCCATGACATTCAATGGCATTACCATCAGCCAATCCCCCATGATCAAGATCTTCAGGGTTGCCATTGACCAGATATTGAACTGCCCAGTGACATAAATGCAGTGGCTACAAGAACAGGTCAGAAGCTCAGAATCCTACAGCAAGAAGCGAACTCCTGAAACCCCAGACCCCATCCACCAACTACAGGGCATAAGTTAACAGAATGATGGAATACTCCCCACTTGCCTGAACGAGTGCAGCTCCAACAACTCTAAAGAGGCTTTAGATGATCCAGGACAAACCAGCCCTGGATCCACACATATTCACTCCCTCCACCACTGATGCTCAGTAGCAGCAATGTATATGATCTCCAACATGCACTGCAGAAATTGACCAAAGATCCTTTGACACCTTCCAAACCCACGACCACTTCCATCATGAAGAACAAAGGCACCAGGTACATCAGAACACCAGCAACTCTAAGTCCCCAACCAAGGCACTCACCATCCAGACCTGGAAATATCTCATCATTCCTTTAGTGTCGCTAGTCAAGATGCTGGAATTCCCTCCTGAACAGCATCGTAGGTCTGAATTAACAGCATCTAGACTGCAGTACAGAAGCCTGATCACCACCACCTTACCATCTTTGCAAGAGCAAGTAGGCAGTAAATAAATGCTGGCTCAGCCAAAAACTCCCATATCCCATGAACGAATAAAAAAAGCCACAGGGAAGTGAAGCACAAAATCCTTACTTTTATCATCAATTTTTCTTGTTGTAAAGGATAGTGTTCCATGAGACTAACTGATTTTGTGCTGTACCTGCACACTAACTTCTTGTAACTTGTGCACCAGAACACTCAGCTCCTAATGCACTCAGAATTCTGCAATCATTCTCTATTTAAGTAATACTCGGCTGTTTTATTCTTCTTGCCAAAGTCAAGAACTTCAGATTTTGCTATATTAAAAATAGAACATGAAAGCTGATGAATGAGATTATTCAAGGTCTAAATTGGCAACGGCTGCACATGTATTGCAACTTCCCAGTGTTGATCAGCTTGGTTGGTTGATATCAACCAGCATAGTATCATAAACACTAGGCTTCTGAGGGATGTCTAAGGTACTGCCCCTTCTCCATCTCCAAAATCTCTTGCTGAAAAATGCAACCAAGTAGAGATCCAGTAAAGATAAGACTTGGTTTAGCCCTCATTCAGCCATCTATCGCCAGTCATTCACTTCAAGATCGTATACAAAAACTAACCACTTAAATCATGTACTAGATGAGGAACACAGTGTCCAAAGAACTGTAATCCAGTATGATCTTCAGCACAAGATAGAAGAAATAACGATCAAAACAACAGTAACTGTGTGCTTGCACTAACCAGCACAAAATAAGAGAATATAGCACAGTTCCGTGCTGTTTTGGGAATTCTGGAAGAAGTTACCAGCCCAATTTGATACTCTTATCAATTTATATTCAAGTAGTCATAAATGCTATCCTTGGCAGGATAAATTGAATACAATGTATTTGAAGTTACATTGCTATTTTTTTACAGAATATGATTACTATATCAAGAGAATGTATTCACATTTATTTAATACATGAGCTATTATGGAAAGCAGAAGACAAGAACTACAAATGTTTTTGCTAATTGGACTTCATAAAAGAATTTGTGACAAGAAATACAAGACACAATTAAGGAATATTACCCCAAATTCAACAATATTTTCTGTCACAAAGAACTCAGGTCTGTACTAAAATTTTCTAGTGAATAATCTTTTGCTCCCAAGTGGTTCATCTGTCTTTTGAGGCTGCTAAATCAACTCGTCTAATTAAATATTAATTTAGTTTAAGCATCTAATATCTCCCATTGTATGCATTACTGGGATATTTTCATCCTTGCAACTATCACGTATGTCATCATTATGTGGGGTGATATCTTTTGCTGTGCTCAATCGTATCCTCCACTGCTTAAATTGCCTTATTTCCCCATGCTAGATTGCTGTTAATAATAACAACTTTCAGTTGATCCTGTTTACCAAGTGATCAGAAATATAAACAATAGTTGCAACAAGAATGAATTCTCTTACTGCTTAATAACATGAGTTTTTCTTTGAGATACTGATGGTGGAAGTACAAGTTGTTCACATGAAAAAATGCTTTTTAAAAAAGATTGGAATGAACTTAAATGTATCGGGTCATTGCGAGCCATTCCTTAGATACTGCATTTCTATTTGTACTGTTTACTTAAATAACTGTCAGAACAAAGAAGGGCAACATAATTGGCAAGTCATCATGTAGTTGTCACTGATTAAATTAATTCAGGGAACAGTTGTTCTTCAATAGGAAGGAAAGATGATATCATTGTCAGCTGTAATCTATGCCAGATACCCTACTATGAACATTGTTGCCTAAATAATTTGACGCTTAATTTCCTTTCTTTTCCAAGGTCTGTACTATTGCCCTAAGTGTTACTGTGAAGAAAGCAGACAAAATGTAAACATGGTCTATGAAAACGAGGATTTTGTCTTTTAAGTGAGTATAAAACCAGCTGCAACTAACTCGATGGGTGTTTTTATTTGGCAATTAATCAGTTAAAACATGGAAACCTATAGAAACATAGAAGGTAGGAGCCAGAGGCGGCTATTTGGCCCTTCGAGCCTGCTCGGCCATTCTTCACGAGCATGGCTGTTAATTTGATATTTGGTCAGATAGACACAATTGTTTAAAGTAGGCTGAGAGATCCACAGAAGTAATTGGTGGATTGGATTGCTGACTCACAAGATGTCAAGAATTTGGAGCTCTCATGACGAGTCATTGGGCTCAAAACATTAACTCCGCTTTCTCTCCACAGATGCTGCCAGACCTGCTGAGTTTCTCCAGCAGTTTCTGTTTTTCTTGAAGAATGTGCCGTTAAGACATTTCATCCAGGGTGACGATCCTCAGCTCTACGCTTAGTGTTTACTTGATAAGAAATACATACCACAATTTTTTTCTCTTTCTGGAATTCCTTATTTGGTGTACTGCTATATAGGTGATCGTTAACAAAACACCATTGCAATTTGATCTTGCAAACAATGCTTTTTTAAAAAAAATCTCAGGATGTGGTCACAGATGGCAAGATTATCATTTGTGGTCCAGTATCAGTTCCTTCAGAAAGTTTGGTGCGCTTTCTTCTTGAACCTCTGTAGTCCCTATGCAGATGGCACTCCCACAGAATGATAATTAGATAATAAATTTGAAAAGAAATCTAGCAATGAAAAGGAATAATGATATACATTCAAATGAAGATAGCATGCAGTTTGGGAGTGATGACATTCACATGATATTACTGCTCTTGTGCTAGATCTCACACAGTAGGTACCTTTGAATTAACATTGGGGTGTTGCTGATGAGCATCCTGGATATGGTGAGTTACAGTACACCATTGGTGAAGGGAATGGATACCAAATTAACCAGCATAGGAAACAATCAAGCACCCTGCTCTTTTCTGAATAGTGCCACACTTCAATAGCTACTGTAGCTGCACTTATTCAGTGGTGTGAGACGTCACACCTTTGCCCTAAGTGTTGACAGTAATCGACAGAAGGTAAGCCTCCTTTGATATAGTTCCCCCAGTTCAGTTTCTCCAAGACTGATTTGTTTGCTAGATTACAGATTCAATGAAGGAATATTCCCATGAAATATTCAATCCAATCCAATGAAATGCATTGCACTTCCCTTGCTAACCATAATAAACTTAATTTCTGGTTTGTGGTCTGAAATGTATGATCTGACAGACAATGACTGTCTTGGTACTCATATAAATTACCAGCTTACAGTAGCTCTCCCTATTACTTTTAAAGGATACCTCATTGCTAGAAGGGTTTATTGGTTTGTTATATTAATTTCCATTGTGTGTAAAAACAAATTTCAATTC